CACCTTTGCCAAGGGGCCCAAGCGCAAGGCGCAGAACATTGGCTACCGGCTTGGGCACCGCCGGGCACTATTCGAGAAGAGGAAGCGCCTCAGCGACTACGCGCTCATTTTTGGCATGTTTGGCATTGTCGTCATGGTCATTGAGACCGAGCTCTCCTGGGGGCTCTACTCCAAGGTACCAACGGGGCCAGGGGGGTGTGTGTGGGGCTGGTGGCACCAGATGGTGCCTGGTGGGGTAGGCATGGAGCCATTTGCCCCATCTATCTCATGGGATAAATATGGAGCTGCTTGGCCCATTTGGAGCAGAACAGGGTCAGACAGGCTGGCTGGTGACTGACAGGATGTTCCCAGAGGTTTAGTGGATGCCGTAGCCACAGGTGTTGGACAGGGTGACCACCTGACTGGAGGTGAGGGGGCTATGTGTTGGTGGGTGCTTTGTCTGCCCCATGCACTTGCAGCAGTAGTCACCGACCCACTGAGGTCTGTGGTGCCTGTTGCTGGCATGTCAGTACACTCCTCAAAAGCACTGTGCCCCCGGCGGTGCAGCGAAGCACCCCCTCCCTCCTCCGCCTCCTCCTCCACACCCCTTCCTGCCATTTTTTTTTCCTTTTTTTTTGCAGGACAGTGTCTTTTATTTATAATTCTCCCCCCCACGTCCCTTCCAGCTCCTGCTCTTGGGCTGCGCTGGTTGGCAGCGATATGAATAACTCTTTGTATAGACATCTGTCATGTTATTTATACCTATCCAGAGAGGGGAAGGCATCAGCACCCCCACCAGCACCCATGGGCGTCAGCGGGACGGCACTGCTGAGGGGGCTGGGGTGCAGCCAGTAGGGGTCCCTGCGCCATGGTGCTGTCAGTGGAGGGGAAGAAGCAGGGTGGGAAGGGGCTGCTCACCGCTTCCTGCCATTATCCAGCATGAGCAGTGGGGAGGGCAGTGTGACAGAGGAGGTGGAAGAAGGGAGGCATGTCACTGGGGGTCCTGTGGTTTGGGGGACCCTGCTGCCTTCCCACTGAGATGCCTGGTGGGGGGGTTCCTGGGCCCCATCTTTCCATGGCTGCCAGGGTCAGTGGGTGTGTAGCGGCTGCGGGCAGCAGTTCCACTGCTCTGTTTGAGGCACGGGCATGCCTTGGTGCCAAGCTGGCATCCCTGGCATCCTTGCCGAGAAAGAAAGATGCTTCAATGCCAGAGCCTTTTTCTGGTGGTTCCCACTCCCCTTTAGCAGGAGCCAAAACACCATCCCCCACCTGCATCTGCTACCTGTTGAGTTGCAGCCACCCACGCAGGCTCCATGTGCCTGCAATGCCTGGCACCGGGGGACTGTCCACCCTTACCAAACTGCCAGCAGCACCGCTGCCATGATCACTGGCCCCACCACGCTGAGCTGCTGTGTCAACTGGGGAAGACCCTGTGAGTCAGCGCTGCTGCCATGCAGTAGCTGTGGCATGCTGCTGCGCCCCTGCCCCACTGTGACACAAACAGCAGTGCTGACAACCACAGGGTTCAGGAGAGTCCCTGGCTCCAGCCTCTGCAGGCCCTTGGCCAGATTTTCAGTAGCTGTGTATAAACCCCCTGAAACTTGCCTGGTGAGAAACCAGAACTCACAGGCAGGGACATGACCATGAGTGTAGGAGTGCATGTGATCAGGGCTGGCTGCCACTGTACATTTGGGAATGTCAGCACAGCTCCAACTCTGCCCCATGGCCTCAGCCATACCACCACATGCTCCCAGCCAGAGGGTGCCAAGGCTGAGCTGGGAAGCAAGGACACGCTGGCCAGGGTTTGACTGCTCCCTGCCTGTCAATCAGCTGTGGGCAAGATAAGGTCTCTCCTGCCCATAGGATAGTATTGCTGCTTCCCTCCACCTGTGCAGCACCATCAGAGTGAAGCATCCTGCCATCCACATGGTGGAGCAGGACATGTGCCAGGGAGGCCAAGGTCTTTCCCCACTTCGGCCAAGACCCCATATTGTTTGCTGCAAGCATGGGATCCAGGAATGGCTCTTCCTGACAGACCTGTCTGTCTTCAGGCAGGAGGCATTGGTAAATGCCATGTAACATTTGTTATTGTTATATTGTTTATGTAACACTTGCCAGGTGGGGCAGTGAGTGTCCATGCAGGGTTTGTGCCCCTGGGAAGGATCTTGTCAGAGCCAGCTGGGCACAATGCTGTTCTGGAGTTTGCCTGTTAATAGCAGTGTTTAGTCCCAGCACTTTTCTTAGTTCCAGCCATTATATCCACACAATTACACAGCCAGAGCCAAGTTGTTAACAATGCGGTGCCGCCTCCACAGCAAATAGTCCCTTCTCTGCGTGCAAACACCCTGTGGAGATGAGGAACACTGGGGAGAGGGCCAAAGCCACCCCAGCACACTGGGGAGCCAAGGATAGTATGTCATGAGTGTGCCAGGTCTTAGCACACCATGAGTGTGCCAGGCCTCACCACGCTGGCACTGGGCATGTTGGCGATGACATGGAGGTGTGGGACAGGTGCAGTAGTAAGGCAGGTTGGTTTGGGAATAACATCTTGGTGAAGGGCTGCCAATGCTTTAGCATCAGTGGGGGCTAGACTGTGGCTGGCACCACGTAAGTTTACCAGTATCCGAAGGGAATGGTGAATCCTACTTTTCTCCTGGGGACCCACCAGTTCAGTCATCAGTGAATCAGGGACTGGTTTAATTTATATAAGACTAATTAGCTGGAGGGTCTAGTTAGATCATCTGTTTGGATACCATAATACTGGGCTTAGGCTAGATGGGGCCAGGGCACTGACACTGCACATCTCAGAGGGGAGGCTGGGAATTGCATTCAGCAGAATAAAATTTTAAAAGAGTTTTGGAGAGAGAGCACATGGTGCTAGTGGTACTAGTGGTGCCAGTGATGCTGATGGTACTGATGGTGCCCTTACTACCATGTCAAACTGCTTAGGGGGAAAGCTGAAGCAGCAGAAGTCCCACTGAGGATGGGGATAGCAGGTGTTGGGGGGAAGTGTTTTCTTTGGGGTGTGGAGTCCAGTGCCAGCAGAATCCCACAGCTCTGTACCCCTTAACGCCTCCCCTGCTTTCACCCTGCAGGACTCCATGTTCTCCTTGGCCCTGAAATGCCTTATAAGCCTCTCCACTGTCATCCTGCTGGGCCTCATCATCGCCTATCACACACGGGAGGTGCAGGTAGGTCCTGGCATCATCAGTGCCTAGTGAGGGGCTGCTGGGGTGGGCTGTGTGGTTTGCCAACTACCTGAGTGGGACACAGTACTTGAGCTCACTCCCTGCACCATTCTGGAGCCTCCTTCCTCTTTGTAAGTGTCTTGGGGGGCAGTGAGGGTTCTTGGGGGGCAGGCACCAAGGGGTCTGTCTGAGCCTCAGGTACCTGGCAGATACGCTGGTGAATGGGGGAGACTATAGACAGGAAGAGCTCAGGCCAGTCAAAGTGCCAAGGAAAGCTGCAAAATCTTTTCCTAATCAGGGCTGCACACTCTCTTCCTCCCTGGGAAGTTAAAGGACTCCTAGTTTGTTCCAGGAAGGCTGTGCTTCCCTGTGCAACCTAGCTTCGGCACAATGCCAGCCTGTTTTGGGCATGGGAGGAATGAATCACCAGTCAAGAGAAGGAGCATCCTGGGAAGGGATGTCAAAGCCCCTGGCCCTGAGTGCACCATAATCCCACCTTGTCCCTCCTGGGGCTGGTGAACAGAGGGGCTTTGCCATCATAGGGGGCTGGCAGCAGCATCCCACTCCCTGCCTGCCTCTGTCCTGGCAGTCCCCACTCCAGTTCAGCCTGCCCATATGGGGACCAAGCCTGGGGATGAGTTACTCAAGGCAAATATTTGAGAGCTCTGGTTCTTGCTGGAATAATATTTACCCTAGGATGACCGTGGTTGGGGTCAGCCGGGTGAGCCGTGCCCCCAGTGCTAACTGTTTCCTCTGTTTGTTGTTTCTGGCAGTGGGTTGTGCAAACACAACACCCAGGCAGCACACAGGTCATCCTACCTCTCCTGCCTTGACCAGAGCCAAAGTCCCACTGCTGTCCTTCTGCAAATGGGGACTGAACCTCACCATGGTCCCAGCTACTCTCCCAGGCCAGTTGCACTGTCAGGACAGGGAATTAGATGAGTTTGACTTGTTCTGCTCCAAAGTTGTGCTGGCTGCTCATTGCCCTGTGTGTTACAGTGTTAAAAAGGAATTGCTGATAATCCAACCAAAACGGAATGGGACTGCCAGAGCTGTAAATCCTCAATTTCTTGTACCTCTTGGCCAAAATTGGGGACTGTGCTCACCTGGCCATGGTACCTTTCAGACCTACCAGCCTCTGGGAAGAAATGATTTCAGCTTCTTCCCTCAGGATTCCCTCTTCCCCTCTTGCCCAGAGAAGCTGTGGCTGCCTCATCACTGGAAGTGTTCAAGGCCAGGTTGAATGAAGCTTGGAGCAACCTGGTCTAGTGGAAGGTGTCCCTACCTGTGAAAGTGGGTGGAATGAGATGAGCTTTAAGGTCCTGTTCAACCCAAACCAGTCTGTGATTCTATCATCCTACTAATTGTGTTTAGTCCTTTTGGAATGCTTGAAGGTCTTCACGTGCCTCAGTTTCTCTGGGGCTGAGGCGCCACTTGGCACCCCAATGATGCCTCTGGTGCCTAGGGCAGAACATGCCATCCTCTGCCAGCACCACATTATCATCACGACACATGAAGGAGAGCAGTGTTGGCAATGCTGCCAGCTCCTACCAAGGTGTTTTGTGGGGGAAGAGACCCCTTGTTCCCTGTGCTTGGAGTGCCTAGGGCTGTTTATGCTTTTGGTGAAACTTTAGTCCCCATAGGTATCTTGGTAGCTTTTCTTGGGCTTTGTTTTTCTGGAGATGTGGTGGCCAGCATTCTTGTTCCTTCCCCTGCTGGAGCCAGTGATGCTGGATATGTTGGGGAATGCCCCCTTGGGTACCACCAAGCTACACTAGGTTTCCATGGGAAGCCACATTGATGTTTCACAGGTACAGAACTAAGAGTGGGGGGGCTGGCTCAGGGGTATCCTGCCCAAATCCTCTCTTGCTCCTTCCCTTCCCTGGCCTATGGCAACCCCCCATCATGCAGTCAAAAGGCTCCTGCCTTTTTCCGCTTGCTAATTTGTTTATTTTAACACCCTTTTCCAGGAAGGAATAGGCTGTCAGCTTGCTAAATGTCTGAGGATCTCCCTTGACAGCTTGGAGCATTTTTGTAAACAATTTCTCAAACAAAGCAGCTAAAAGGAGCAGAGTTTTCCCTACAGAAAGGGAGGTGGCTGGGGCAGCCACTCCATGAGTCAGTCCCAGTGGCTCCTGCCATCCCCAGGGAGAGCCCCAAGTGAGGTGGCTGGTGGCCTCTGGCAGTACAGGTGTACTGGGGCCTCTGGCAGGGCAGGAGGGTTGTTCCTGGGCTCAGCACCAGCTGAGGCCATGCTCCCCACCCACCTCTCATCCACTGCCCTGGCTGTGTGCAGCCCTGGATCCGTGAGCAAGCCAGCATCGTTGCAATCCTTGCAGGACTGAGGACGTGGACAGTAGCACCAGCTGCCACATCCCCTTGGATCCCTTCCTGGTGGCTTCTTTGCCAAGTGCTGCTTGCAGAGAGGCCCTAAGCATGCCCCTGCTGCTGTGGGTGATACCGGTGTCCCTGTCACATCAGGAAGAAGCTGATAGCAGCCTCAGGACAGCCCTGCTGAGGCAGGACAGGGTGGGTGACTCCCAGGGCTCTGGTGGCATCCCAGAGATGCCAGATTTTGAGTGTGCTCTCCTCAGCTCCTGTAGAGACCCCAACTTCATCACTGATGATGGCAGAGGAGCTGGATGAACCATCAGTTGCCATGACAACTGAATCCCATCTCTGCCAGCAGCTGGATGCTCTGACTGTGGCATTCATTGCCCAGATATTGCCCCAGAACTCAGGGTGTGATGACTGTCGGTGAAATCAGTGCAGCACCAGGAGCAGAGGGACTGGGGTGGCTCATGCTGGTGCTCTGTGGCACCATGGCTTGCCCATCTCTGTGGCCTAGATGAGGAGGACATTCCGGGAGGTGGGCTTCTGCTAGCTAGATTTTGAGTGACCTGTCCCCAGGCTGTGCCTGGGTGCTGTGCCATGATGTGCCTGGACACCTTAATGCTTTTGGTGTCCCCTGCAACATGACCATCCCTGACACACACTAGCAGGGCAGCAGAGAGGTTGGTGGTGACTCATTCCCATGTTCTTCTTCTCTGTCCATCCCCAGAGCTTCTGGCTGAGCCACACCCAGCTCCTCTTAGCTCTGGTGTATGACCCCCACTGCCTGTGGAGGGAGGGATGCCAGTGGGCAAGTTGTGTAGGGTCACTAGTAACTGCGTGGTTTTGCATCATGGTAGCTCTTTGTGATCGACAATGGAGCTGACGACTGGCGGATAGCGATGACGTATGAGCGCATCCTCTACATCAGTCTGGAGATGCTGGTTTGTGCCATACACCCCATTCCTGGGGAGTACAAATTTTTCTGGACAGCTCGCCTGGCTTTCTCCTACACACCTTCTCGGGCAGAAGCTGATGTGGACATCATCCTGTCTATCCCCATGTTCCTGCGCCTCTACCTGATTGCTCGGGTGATGCTGCTGCACAGCAAGCTCTTCACTGATGCCTCCTCACGCAGCATTGGGGCACTCAACAAGATTAACTTCAACACCCGCTTCGTCATGAAGACACTCATGACCATCTGCCCTGGGACAGTGCTGCTGGTCTTCAGCATTTCCCTCTGGATCATTGCTGCATGGACAGTCCGTGTGTGCGAGAGGTGAGAGTGGTCTGGGATGCACGGTGCTTTGGGATTCACAGTGGTTTGGAATGGGCAGTGGTTTGGGGTTTGTGTCAGTTCAGGATGCTCAACACTTCGGAATGCCTACTGGTTTGGGACGCTCAACTGTTCAGGACGCATATAGGTGGAGGTTTGGGATGCATGGTGTCTTGGAATGCTCAATAGTTCAGGACTCAAGCATAATGAGCAGCAGTTCTGGATGAGCGGAGGTTTGGGATGCTCCATGGTTCAGGACATGCAGTAGTTCTGGATGCTCAGCAGTTTGTGGTTTGGCTTTCTCAATGGAGATGTGATGTCCCAAGACCCTGTAGGAGGGATGCAGGGCTCCAGAGCCTCAGCAGCCACAGGTTCCCTCGACTGAGCATTGTTGTTAGCAGATGATAAACTGTCTTACACAGGCAGGAAGCAGAGCAAGGTCAGCCCTGTCCTCACAGTGCAGTACCTAGGCCAGGCAGGGTTCTTGTGCAAGAGGACAATGTGTGGTGCCAGAAGCCCCAGGAGCATGGGTGAGGGACATGGAGAATGGTGGGAGCTGGGGGCTGTGGATGGGGAGGGGCCAGAGGTGCTGATGGTGACAGGGCCTGGCTCAGGCTCTAGCATCACTGCAACTGACTGTCATGACAACACTGTGGTGACAAACCCACAGCCTGATGGCATCATGCCAGCATCAGCGTGCTCAGCACCAGGGTTGCTGTGGAGACCAGCCTGGTGGGTATCACTGCACCTCCATCTCTCAGGGACCTGCCACCACTATTTGTCTGCTGAGGGAACCAGGGGGCTGTGGTGGTGGCACCCCAGCCAGAAGGTTTTCTCCACAGCCATGGTGCAGGGTGCTAGCAACACCTGGGGAAGGGAGGGCAGGTCGTCCAGAAGCTGTCCTGTTGTGGCAGCTTTCTGTCATCCTTGGAACTAAGGTGCAAAGGATCACTCATACCAACTGGCACCCCAGGGTTACCTGGGACACCCAGATTGCTTCTAGATTGCTTGCAAAGTGAGACGAAGGCCACCCCCCAACTCTTCCCCAGGGTGGGACCCATTGCTCTGGTCATAATGCAAAGGGGCAAGTGCTGTGGCAGTGGCGTGGGACAGCATACAGATTTTATGAGCTTTTACTGGCTACCTTTGCCTTCCTGCCTCCCTTATGAGCTAATGGTGCTCCCCTTATGACTTGGATATGGTTATTATGTTCAGGCACCACCTAATTGTGTTTGAGAAACTGTGATTTATGCCTCCTAAACAGGGAGCAGGCGGACAGGCATCCAAGACACACACAGGAGTGTAATCCCACAACAGGTGAGGCTTAGGATGGAAAATGCAATGAAGAATTATTAGGAACAAAAAGCCTCAGAAATTTATGCAAAGGCACTGCAGATCATTGGCACCACAGTTGCCATCACCTCCGTGTGTGTACGGAGAGGCAGAAGTGAACCCAAGTGGGCTGGAGATGCGTCAGTCCTGGGGGATGCAGGACTGAGGGAATGCAGAACCCCTGGGACATGTTCCACGTGTGAGCAATGCAAGATCCCTTGTACATGCACCATCCCTGGGGGTCACACAGCTCCCACAAAGGCTACCCAGAATGTGTCCCCCTGTCCACACTGATGTCACTGGCAGTGGAAACCAATTTGCTGCGGTTTGCAGGACCATTCCCAACCAGCAGCCACTGGGGCCGGGCAGTTTAGAGGCAGTTGTGCCTCTCCAAGACATGGTTCTCAGGCTGGGGTGGCACGGCCATGGCACGTCTCCTTCGCACTGAGCTGTGGTCTCCAGCGTCTGTGGGCGCAGCATCCTCCCGTGCGCGCCGCGGGGCCGCACCTCTCTGAAGGCAGCGAGTCGCTTAGCAACCTCGCCTGCTCGCCCGGCCACCGCGCACCGCCTGCAGTGCCTGCGGTGCCTCCAGCGCTGCCGGGGCTGCCCGCGACGGCGCGCACGTGTGCTCACACGTGTGCTTGTTCGTGCCGCCTGCCCGCTCCTGGAGCAGCCAGCCTAGAGCACCAGCTGGGACTGCCCAGCGCGATGGGGTTGGCTCAGCCGAGATGGTGCTGCCACAGTGGCGTGGCACGGCAATAAGGTGATGCTCACAGCTGCCACAGTGGTGAGGGTGGCTGTGGCCTTACTGGGGGCTGGCAGACCAGGGGACAGCAGAAAGTGGTGCTGGTGTCTGTCTGATTGTGGCAACTCTTGACGTGAGCAGGTGGCCCCTCTTTCTGCCCACACCAGCCGTGGTATGTGCCAGCCCCTCTGTTTTATCAATTCTTGCTCAAAGTCCTCTTCAGAAGAGAAAATGTTCCTCTGTCCAGTAGGCCTGTAACCCCCTTGTCCAGCATGATGCTCTTGGGGTTGTCCCCTCAAGACATCCCATCCTGTGGGATGAGGTAGGCTCAGCTCTCCTCAGGAGAATACACTGGACAGGCTGGCACTGGAATTTTGGAGAGCGCCACTGTGATTATGTGCTCTAGCTCCCCTAGCCAACCCTGCCCAGAGTGAGTCTCACCATGGCTGAGGGTGCTTTCTCCTGCACCAGGACCTCATTTGAATCTCCAGCTGAGGGAAAAACATTTCAGAAGAGGAGAAAACCCAACTGCTCTGCAAGTTATGATCTTGGAGTTGGGATTGCCAAAAGCTCCATCTGTTTTCCCTCTCTGGATTCTGTGAGGAGGCTAGGAGAAATCTGCTAGGGAGGCAGGAGAACAACCATATTATTCATAGTGGGGTAAAGGCACTGCCTGCCCCTGCTGACTTAGGGTTGAATCCCATTGCAGACTGGGCCAGGCCCTGCTCCACTGCCAGGATTCAGCACTGTATCCCTCGGGAAACATACCTGCATGGCTTGGCTGTGCTTGTGCCAGCTCTGAGGAGCTGGAGGCAGCTGGGGCCCCTGATTGCGTGTTTGCTGGACAAGCCAATGTCTGGGACAGCCAGAGTGGTCACTGACCTCACATAGCAGGGACATAGAAAATTTGCAGCATTCCCAAAGCTGCAGCCACTCAATGTGTGCTGTGTCTTGAGTGTGTGAGCTGTTCCTCTGATTCTCAAAGCTAAGCTCATGCCAGAGGCTTGATGGGGTCCATGCCCAGCAATTCTGCTGGGACTGCACTGTCTTCTGGGGCAGCACAGTCCAGGCTGCATCACCAGTAGGATGCAGAGGAGGATGCCAATGGTGAACTGCTGTGATCAGGGGCTTTGCAGAGCCACAGCTCTTTCTCCCATCAGCCATTTCTTGCTGCAGCACCACATGACACTGGGGACACACAACAGGACTGGGATGTGGTGACAGGTCTGACTGAAAACAGAAGCCCTTTCCACTGAGTTTTTGCTCTCATTTTGTCCATGTGGGTTTTCCAGTGTCAGAAATTGTGCAACCACTGCTACTATGGCACATCCGACTGTGTTGTTAATCCTCTACCCCAGCACAGGTCATGCCAGATGAGCCACTGTGCCCAGGTACCCCCATTTCTTCCACATTCATTCCTGTTCCCTGCTGTGACACTGATGTCCGCGTCTCCTTGGCAGGTACCATGACCAGCAGGATGTAACCAGCAACTTCCTGGGTGCCATGTGGCTCATCTCCATCACCTTCCTCTCCATCGGCTATGGTGACATGGTCCCACACACCTACTGTGGGAAGGGAGTCTGCCTGCTCACTGGCATCATGGTAAGGGCCATGCCAAGCTGTTTATCCATTCTGTGGGCTCTGCCTCTCTCCATTGCAGAGGCAGGGCCACTGGATTTTGTGGGGACTGGTTTCTTAGCTCTTTTGTCCATGTACAAGGCCTAGAGACTTCGGCTCTGAGGTGTCACAGCCTGGAAGTTGATGGAGTTGTCTCAGATGATGAATTTGGGGTGGATTTAGACCTATATTCAGTAAGGGTGGAGGGCTCTTGGTGGAGTCAGTGATGGCCCCAGGGAGCAGAAGGGCACCCGAGCATCCCTTGGCCTTCCTGGTCCACACCATCTGGCTTCCATTGCTCATCTGCTCTGGATTCCTTTCCCTCTGGTCAAAAGGTCACCATTCTCCAGGCCCTCCAGAATATCTTCCCCAAAGAGCCCACCACGAGATCTCCTGTCTTGTGGGACTTTCCAGCCAGGGCTGCTGAAGGAGCAGCTGGGGGATCTGTGGTCATGGCTTCTCCACAGATCCACCCCAGCCATGAGCACCCTGACTCTGCCCACCTCAGCTCCAGGCCCTGGGGATGAAGCTTTCCCTCCTCCCAGCTAGGGCAGACCAAACTTACCCCATGAGTACCATCAGCTGGGGAGGCTCCACCAAGAGGTATTAATTCTGTATTATCTAGAAGTCTTTGATCTGTCTTGGATGAGGTCAGGCGCAGCAAGGCTGGTATTATTGGTGGGAGCCAAGCAAGGGAGAAAATCCCTATGGATGCAGCAATTGCCAGCAGAGGAGAAGCTGCTGGTTCAGCCAAGGTGATTTCTGCGCTGCAGGCTCCCAAAGCTCTTCTCCAACCAGTGGTTACTTTGAAGTGAGACACCATCTGTAAAAGTGTCCCCCCACACCCAGCACAGCCCCCCCCCACCCCTGGGAACGGAGACCCCATGCCCACTGGGCTCGGAGGCTTTGCTGGGTTTCCAGTCAGTACCAGGGGTAGTAGCTCCACCAGGAAGACAGAGGTGGTGGGAGTTGAGAATGTGCAGCAGGACCTTTGAGGATGCTGAAGGATTCAGGGTATCAGGTTAATTAATGACTCTTTAAGGAGAGCTTGCCAGGCTGAGTGCACTCTGCCAGAGCTCTAGGGAGAAGCAACCTGGTATGAACAGCTGGTATGAACAGCAGCAGGCAGAGCTCAGGAGCACAGCGGGGAGGCTCTGGAAAGAACACCTTGGCACAGATATGCACTGGAGACAATAGCTGCCACACAGATCTGGCCACAGTTGCCAGGATAAGTGAGTTCCCAGCTGGTGCAGTTGGGATACATTGCAACTTGAGGGGTCCTGATTTGGGGCCTCTTCTCTTCTCTTCTCTTCTCTTCTCTTCTCTTCTCTTCTCTTCTCTTCTCTTCTCTTCTCTTCTCTTCTCTTCTCTTCTCTTTCTCTTCTCTTTTCTCTTCTCTTTTCTCTTCTCTTTTCTCTTCTCTTTCTCTTCTCCATTTTGTCTGGTGCTCCCTCGTTGCTCTCCCAGCCCAGACCTCTCTTGGGAGTGGAGGGCACTGGCATGGGGCAGATCTCTGGCCTGCAATGGCACAGGCTCACCACTGACCACTGCTGACCTTGTTAATAGCCCTGGCCTCTCCCATTAGTTACGCAGCTCACCATCAGCCATTCAAGGACACCCAGGGTCTGTAGTATCTTTTCGTTATGATAATGAGGAGGATGTGTAGCTTTAGTTAACTAGCTGATTGCAAGGATGAGGGTGGGAGTGCTGGTGTTACAAGAGGGTGACAAACTATTTCCCCAACTGATCCTTGTTCAGGGTGCTGGATGTACAGCACTGGTGGTGGCTGTGGTGGCCAGGAAGTTGGAGCTCACCAAAGCTGAGAAGCATGTCCACAACTTCATGATGGACACACAACTGACAAAGCGGGTAAGGTGCCATGGGGGACAGCAGGAGTGGGGGAATTGTTGTGTGCCAAGATTTGGGGATTTGGGCTACCATGGCAGGAGGAAGATGTCAGCACCTCTGGATCCTGTGGGTACCACTATGGAAGAAGGTGTTAGCATCATCTCTGAGTGAGGCTACAGTAGGAGAGGAAGGTGTTGGCATCTTTGGATGTGGGTCCTGAAGGTACCACTGCTGAGGAAGTTGTTCAAGTGCTGTGGATATAGCACAGGCACAAATGTTACACTGAGACAAAGAGCACCAGCTCTGTTTCAGGGATTCAGGTGATGCTCCCTCTGGGAACATATCCCCTCCTCTTCCACAGTATGATCTCACTTCTCTTGGTATCAGGAAAACAACTGGATTTTGGTGATTCAGTGCCCACCACAGATAGGAACCACACTGTAAGGTTCCTCTGAGGAGGGACCCAGAGCCTGCGTTCATGGGGTTTCTGTCGTACCAGGGTCTGGTGTCACATCCCTGAAAGAAGAAAGGAGCAGCAGGAGGTCACTGGTCCTGGCAGCCTCATCATGGCAAAGCATCATGTCATATAATGGGCTCTGCACACTACAATATGTTTTTAGAGGGGATGGTGGCAAAATGGATATCAGTGCAGGCCTTGGAAAGGCAACTAGCTGTTGGATGCAAACAGGGCACCTACTTCACCCCAGAGAGCAGAGCCCCAAACAAAGCCCTGACACCCCAGAAATAGTCAGGGCCTTGGTGTGACCAGGCTGGAAAAGCAAAACAGCTGGTCAGCCCTGCTCCACTGGCCACTGATATAGATCTGCAGGCTCCATGCCAGGCAGATGGCAGACAATTCCTCCTGGAACAAGCAGCTGAGCTGTGGTTTAGCTGGAGAGTCTGCAGAAGTCATGTCCCAGTGCTGGCAGCACAGCTGGGACTTGCCAAGATTGGCAGATGGGTGCAGGAATCAAGAAAACCTTTGGGATTTTTTTCTTGAGGCTTATGGTACAACTTTGTGTGTAGGCAAAGAGCCAAGTGCTGGAGAATGAGTGCAGAGTAGGAGTGGGATGTGGGTGCACCAGGGGCCAATAGCTCTGCCTTCTCTTACTCCTGCTTGAACGGTAGCAACAGTCCTTAACGCTAACCCGTAACCCCTAACCCTTAACCCCAAACTCTAACCCTAATGCTGTTTGACTTACAACAATGCAGGAGATTGTGCAGGTACAAAGCCAAGTGCCTCACTCCAGCTGGGGTTGAGTGCTCTTGCAGCATTGGTTCATGGCAGAGGAAGACCAGTGTCTCTGTGAAATCCCACATGGCTGGTGACCTGCAGCCACTCTTCCTTTTCAGATTAAGAACGCAGCAGCCAATGTCCTGCGGGAAACATGGCTTATCTACAAGCACACCAAGCTGCTGAAGAAGATCGACCATGCTAAAGTCAGAAAGCACCAGAGGAAGTTCCTACAAGCCATCCACCAGTAAGAGGCTATGCAGTGGGCTGGGGGCAGACTGAGCTCCAGATAAACCAGGATCCTGTCCCTGGCAGGGGAGTGGGGAGTTTTCCATTGCCTGGGATGCAGGCAGGTCTCCAGATGCAGTTTGAAAGAGGGGAGGGAGTACAGCCATGTGCTCTTTCCTTCTCCCCAGGTTACGGAGCGTGAAGATGGAGCAGAGGAAGCTGAGTGACCAAGCCAACACCCTTGTTGACCTCTCAAAGGCAAGTCCCACAGGGACCCTGTGGCTTGGCCAGACTGAGTGTTTTTCTTCACTCAGAAAAACTAAAGCAGACTTGGCTGACCGCAAAATGCTCCGACTCAGTAAATGTCAGCAAGGAATAGCTGCTGTGGGATGGCTGCCCTTGCAAAGCAGGAGGAAAAACATACATGAGCCAGGGGTTCCCTGCAACCCTTTTTGCAAGGGATACCACTGCTCAGCAGCACAGGGCCAGCAGAGCTTCCTTGCTTTGATGGCCAGGGATGAGCCGAACTGCAGCCACAGAACCCTTGGAAAACCTGGGGTGGGCTGAGATGGGTCAGCTTTCAGGGCAGAAAGGGGTAAAGGGGTGAGCTCTGCTAGCAGCAGTGCACTAACCCCTCCAGCCATGGTACTAACCCCGCCACTGTCCCCTGTGTCCCCTCCCCAGATGCAGAATGTGATGTACGACCTCATCACAGAGCTAAATGACCGCAGTGAGGACCTGGAAAAGCAGATCAGTGGCCTGGAATCTAAGCTGGAGCAGCTCAGTGCCAGCTTCAACTCCCTGCCCCTGCTGATGGCTGACATGCTGCGCCAGCAGCAGCAGCGCCTGCTCACCGCTGTCCTGGAGGCCCGGGGGGTTGGTGTGCCAGTGAGCACCCCCCAAACACCTCTCTCTGAGAGCCCCATTGGGGTCAGCTCCACCTCCTTCCCCACCCCTTACACGAGCTCAAGCAGCTGCTAAAATGCAGTCCCTCAGCCCCACCGTGGACAGGGGAAGCATTTCCACACAGATCATGAGGTCTCTGTGAACTTTCTTCTGGTCCTTGAACCACTGCAGGACCCTTCAGCTGGAGCCAATGGGACCAGCAGTGCCGAGCAATGCTCGGAGCTTTGCCAACGCCTTGGTATCGGGAATTGCATCCCTTTTCAGGTGCCTCAACACGTGGTGAAGGAAGGGGACAGAAGGTGATGCCTTGGGCCAGCCTTTGCCATGGCGTCCAGTGGCAGACGGAAAACCCACGCTCAATCTCAGGTCTTCACATTTGAAAACAAAACAAAACAAAACACCAAGTCAGAAGCACTGAAGCAACGGAGACACCGGAGGGAGAGTTCTTCTCCCTGGGGCACTCCCCTTGCCCCCTGCCCCTCTCATGATTGCCAACCTCACCAGGCAGATGCCAATGTGGGGGGCTCGTTATGCAGGCTCTGGCTGACGCTGCCTATGCTCCATCCATCTCCTTGCCAGGACTCACAGGACAGCCCCCTCACATTGACAGCTGGGTGACAATATCTGGCTGTAACCTTCCTGGAGAGTTCTCTGGAGCTGTGAGTGTTTTCTACCCAGAGAATAACAATGGACACTTTGTCTTTCTGGTCCTTTAGTGTCATATCCTGCCTGGAGATGCATGCCAGAGCCAGGAAAGCAGTGCCTACAGTGTGCAGGGCCATGCAAGGCTGCCCCCAGCCAATGTGTTGGTGGCCTGTGATGGAGCTCGCAGGTCAGCCTGGGTGCTGAGGGAGTCTCCAGGTGCTCACATCACTTCCTGCTGGGAGCTTCCCAGCATTTTTCAAAGCCAGTGGGCTCTTTGCAGCAGTCTCAGAAGTGCTGGATGAACACCCCATCAGCTCCAACTGTCTCCACTTCTGCTGGGAAAATCAATGGTTGAGCCCAGTTGGCAGTGTCAAATCCGCCAGGATCAAGCAGGAGCTCACTGGCAAGTGATGTGTTAGCAGGGGCAGGTGCTTCATCTGTTTAAAACAAAGCCCGTCACCTTCATGCCACTTCTGCTGGGTTTGGTGGAGGGCAGCAGCACTCTGGCACCATCTTGGAAATGGTACTGCTGCCCATGCCTGCCAAAGTGCAGCACCTCAGACTCCATTATATTTTTGCTGGTGTTCAGCTTCCTGAGGTACTCTTGGCATCACTTGGCTGCTTCTGGAACCAGTCACTTTCTGTTTTGCTTTCACCATTTCTCCCTTTTTCCTCCTCAGTTCTTCCCCAGTGTCGTGTTCTGGCTTTCCTGGATCCTTGCATGGAGCCGCGCCAGGCTCCAAGTTTGGGGCAGGTGTTTGCTGCTTTCCATGAAAACTCAGCAGAGAATATTTATATATTTTTAAACAGATGAAGTAACTATTACTCTGCAATATTAATTACACCTCAGCAGTGTCAGTAATTGTAATCAGTCACTGTGTTATTCCAGGTATACTCAGCCTGTAATGCTCCCCTTTGTAACTTTTTCCCTTCCATAAATAATGCTGGATTTTGTGTGTATGTAGGGGCAGAGACACGCCACCCTCCTGCACCACCATCCCTACACCCCCAATGCCGAAGAGTTTCTTTGCTGCCAGTGGTGTGAGGTGGTTTCACTCCTTGTGCCCTGCAGCTGGAGTTACATAGAAAATAAGCAGTAGATAGTGAGGAGTACTGCCCCCACACTGGCCCTAGGAGGAGAAGGAGGAGGAGGAGGAGGAGGAAGGATGTAAGGCAACAGCAAGAGTACTGCAAAATGAGATCCTTGCTACAGAAGTGTTGGTAGCAGGGGACCAAACACAGACATCCCTGTTGCCTTCAGGTAGGCACATGCCCATTGCTACTGGTCCTTGGCCAGTGGGAGACATGCAGCTTCTGGGAATAAGCTGCTCTTCCAAGCACTTGTAATTAGTATCATTGATATCCCATGGATGGCTGGGGATTCACTGCTGCCTTGGAAGCCCCCCATGATCTATTCTCACCCCAGCTGCTGCTCCCCATATGCGTCTGGGTGCCCACCTGTCCATCTTGCCCAGCAGAAGCTCCTGTTTGCCTGTCAGGAGGTTCCCAGCATTGCAATGGAGAATATTTTAAAAATTCTGAGAAAGAGCCTGAAATGCAGCATTTTCCCTGCCCTGTAGTCAGCTAGTGGAGAAAAATGCTTTCTGGGCCTCAGATAGGAGCAAACTGCCCATGGCATGGGGCATCAGAGAGCCAGAGGAAGTATTGCTTCTTAAAGATCAATATTGCCAGCAGGAACCCAGGAACTGCCCTGCCAGGTTCATGATCAAGTTTAGGAAATCCAACCAAGTGAGACAAGAGCAGGTGCTGTCAGCTCACAGGCCCCAAGGCTGGAGGTGGTAAGGACCACAGTAAGTGTGTTGGGATTGCAACTAGAGCCCCGCCTTGTTCTGGGGGAGAGCAGCTGCTGCTGCAGTGGATCCTTGTGCACCTCACAGCCTCCCTCCCCTGGCCTCACCTCAGCATAACCTGCACTGCAACAACCCTTCTGCCTGGGACCTGGCAGCCCAGGGTCTGCACCCTATGCCCTGCACCTTGCACCCTGCATCCCCCACACCCCTATCCCACCCCNCCACATCCCTGAATTCCCATGCCAATCCCCAAAGCCCCTATCCCACCCCTGCCAGTCCTTTAACACTGGTGCCAGTAGTCCTGATCCATTACACCCAGCACCGGACTCCACCATGGCCAGCACCGAGACTAACCCCGCCCCAGTCCCGCTGCCAGGACCACAGAGCCAACCTGAAGCCACAGTGAGGGCAGGCATGGTGGGGAGCCCCCAGTGCTGTCCAGCCCAGCGTGCCCACCCAGAGCTGCTGCTCTGCTCCCTGACGGCAGCTCTTGGTCATCAGCAGCCTCAGCTGGCACAGCCCCAATAAACAGCTCCAGTAAATGCTCCCCAGCCAATCCTGTCCACACACCTGAGATGATCACTTTGGATACACTAAGGGACATCGGGACAAACAGAAGAGCTGAGATCAGCAACCAAGGTGGAGGAACAGCACAAGAGGAAAATCATAGAGATGCCGACCTGCAGCTGGGAAGGATCTGATCGATCCCACAGTCCAATGGGGCCAATCCCCAATGCTCCTCCGGGACCCACCTAACCCAGCCAGTCCCATTTTTGGCACATTTATGGGAGCTTTTTTTGTTCCATGACCCTCTTTCCTGCGCTGCCTGCAAGGAACTATCCTAGAAATACAAGAAAAATTCCATGGTCTCTCTGCAAACTCATGGATGTTTCTGTTCAGACTTAAGGAGCTTTGACCTGGGTTTGCATCTTGCCTCTGTACTGCTCGCTTCTTTTTTAATGATAGGGGAAAGCATAATAGTTTATTTTAACTATAAAATATATTGCTATATTATGATGGTTATGGTAACTTTCAATTATGGTTTTGTACCCAACATGGTTGTTAGCAGGCAGCAACACCAGGCTGCTGCCAAAAATGTCTGTTTCTGAGTACAGCTACTACTGTCAGTGAGGATGGGGGACAGGGAGGCAGGGAGAGGTGCAGAACCCAAGTCATTATCCTTTATCTCCCTTGTATTTGTTCCCATTACTTGGAAGCTGAACAGAAGCAGGTCTGCATCTGTGTGTAGCCCAATAGCAGCAGAGCTTTGCTTCTCCCTAGAGGAAGGTCAAGCTCCCCTTTTTACCCAGGGTCTGGAAAGCCGTTCTCCCCAGGTTGTATCCTCCAGCAGAGGAGAATCTCCGTTCCCTGGGCACAAGCTCTGCAAGAGCCAAACTTTTCCTCCAGAATGAAGGCTCTTAAGAAAGCAGAGTTGCGGATCACATTTTTATAGAATTATGGAATCATTAAGGTTGGAAAAGTCCTCTAAGAACATCAAGTCTTACTGTTAACCCAGCACCGCCTACTGCTAACCCATGTGCCCAAGTGCCACATACACAAATCTTCTAAGCTCTTCCGGGGATGGGGACTCCACTACTGCCCTGGGAAACCTGTGCCAGAGCCTGACCACACTTACACACAAGAAATTTTCCCAATATCCAACCTAAACCTCCTCTGGCACAACTTGCAGGCATTTTCTCTTGTCCTTTCACTTGGGAGAAGAGACTGGGACATTTCCAGTTCACATTTCACACCCTGCCCTGGCAAGCTGCAGCTTTTGCTCAACCTCAGGGCATGATGGCATAGGAGGAGAAAACCCTGAACATTAAAGAGAAATGAGACAAGGTTGCAGGGACTGCTTCGTTTCAGCCTTCCAGCTGGGAACAGGCTGCCCAGACTTGTGTCTGCCCCATCCCTGGAAGTGTTCAAGGCCATGTTAGATGGGGCTTGGAGCAACCTGGTGTAGTGGAAGATGTCCCATGGCACAGGGTGGAATCAGATGAGCTTTAAGTCCCTTCCAACCCAAACTATTCTGCGATTCCATGATTCTCTGATTCTATGGACTCATTGAGCCTCAGAGAGCATCACTTCCTTACCTCCAACCCCTGAGCTGCCGGACCTGATCCCCACTGGATCATAAGTCTTAAACTGCTCTTTGGCAGCCACACTTTGTCCTGGCCAGTCTTCACAGAGCATGACATGTCCAGGAATGAGCAGCACCTATGGGACCAATTTCTGCTGCTTTTGTCCAGAGAAAGTCTAAAAGTCCCTACACTGGCCCTTCCTGATCAGAGCTGTCATTGCCATGCTGTCACTGTTACCACTGTCAGAGCTGTGCTGGTCTCACCCTTCCAGGCCAGTCCAACCCAGTAGAGCCCTAGCAGCAATGAGCTGCCATGAGATCTGGATGCTCCCTGCTGGACCCCAGACCTGAAATCTCCCTGCAGAAACCAGCTCTGATGGAGAAAAGAGGCTGGTTCTTCTGAGAGGCCAGGGCTGAGCCTCTGCTACTGCCAGCTAGGTCTGGGGCTGCTAGGGGATTCCTGGTCCTCTGCACCACTCTTCCTTGAGCTTCTCCTGCCCAGCATCTCCCAGGAAGCTAAGAGCCCTGTGCCATGGCCACCAGGTATGTTTGGTGGAGGGCGATGCTGGTGATTGCTCAGCAGTTTGGGAAGATTCTGCTGCCAGGCTCTGTACTGGTCTGAGCTTTTTCTCACCTATCTCCAAGCTCCCTCCTAAAAGGAATCCAGAGGGTTCGAGGTTGTAAAGAAGAGCTTTTGCAGGAGAGAGAAAAAGCTTCTCTGTGGCATTAGCTATTTCCCTATGGGATGAGGCACCTCAGAGCCCCATGAGGCACCAGGCAGGGCTCCAGAACCACCCGCCCAGTGGATGCTCTTGGCTGGGGGCCCTGGTGCTCTGGGTGCTGCAGTCTGTGCACCCAGCTCTGTTCTTTCTTCTGCCCAAAGTGTTCTTCCCCCTTCTGGGGTCTTGGCATTGCCAATGCACCTGTCAGTGGGAGCTGCTTGCATGTCTCTGTGGTCAGGATCCAGTCCCGGGCTTACATTCCTCCTTCAGGGCCAGTCTCTCAGCTGAAGGACAGGACTGGGGACAACAGCCCATCCCCACAGCATTGCCATAAACCCAAGCTGTACCCAGAAACAGGCATGTTTTAAACTATGGCTTTAACCTGTTCACTGTAAAAAGTGCCTTGGACTTTAATCTGAAGAGGTCAGTATCTAGAAGTATTTACCTG